CCAGAAACCATTTTCAGTATTAAGCTAATAGTGACCTTGACCTTTGACCTTGTGACCCCAAAATCAATAGGGGTCTTCTACCCAATATGGACAATCATCCTATGAAGTTTGAATACTGTGGGTCAAATGGAACTTAAGTTATGCTTCGGAAACCATTTTACGTATTTAGCTAATAGTGACCTTGACCTTTAACCTTGTGACCCCAAAATCAATAGGGTTTTTACCCAATATGGACAATCATCCTATGAAGTTTGAATACTGTAGGCCAAATGGAACTTAAGTTATGCTCCGGAAACCATTTTCAGTATTTAGCTAATAGTGACCTTGACCTTTAACCTTGTGACCCCAAAATCAATAGGGGTCGTCTAGCAAATATGGGCAATCACCCTATGAAGTTTGAATACTGTGGGCCAAATGGAAGTTAAGTTATGGTCCGGAAACTATTTTCAGTATTAAGCTAATAGTGACCTTGACATTTGACCTTGTGACCCCAAAATCAATAGGGGTCTTCTACTTAATATAGGCAAACACCTTATGAAGTTTGAATACTGTGGGTCAAATGGAACTTAAGTTATCGTCCGGAAACCATTTTCAGTATTAAGCTAATAGTGACCTTGACCTTTGACCTTGTGACCCCAAAATCAATAGGGGTCTTCTACCCAATATGGGCAATCATCCTATGAAGTTTGAATACTGTGGGTCAAATGGAACTTAAGTTATGCTCCGGAAACCATTTACAGTATTTAGCTAATAGTGACCTTGACCTTTGACCTTGTGACCCCAAAATCAATAGGGGTCTTCTACTTAATATGGGCAATCATCCTATGAAGTTTGAATACTGTGGGCCAAATGGAACTTAAGTTATGCTCCGGAAACCATTTACAGTATTTAGCTAATAGTGACCTTGACCTTTGACCTTGTGACCCCAAAATCAATAGGGGTCTTCTACTTAATATGGGCAATCATCCTATGAAGTTTGAATACTGTGGGCCAAATGGAACTTAAGTTATGCTCCGGAAACCAAATTGCTAACAGACGGACGGACGGACAGACGGACGCCAGGGGGTCTAACATAATATGCCCGAAATTCTTTGGGGCATATAAAAAGCAGACAACATATCCTAAGGGTGATTCAACATTATTCAAGTAGGAATATTGGAACCACCCAACTAGAAAATGCCGAAAAATTGAAACTAAAAATACCACAAGCACAACAATAATGTCGTGCTGAACGATCTTCAAGGATCGAAAATATAACATCATTGATTAAATGTACGGGGAGACTTTTTACAGCCGCCACACGGCACAAATAACACGGATGTGATCATAAAATAGATAAAAAACAGAATCCCTAAAGAAAGCCAAACACGGCAAAATTGAAAATGTTGCAGGCTCGGTTTGATTGAGCCTGTTCATGGACGGTACTGGAAAGTGCAAGTCTGTCCATAGAAACCTCTTATTACCTTTCATGGGTCTTCCTCTCCATACATCTAAGTCTCGGACTGTTGATACTAGTAAAATTCAGTCCACCGAATCCACTAATCAAAGTTCTGATCCAAAAGTCGCAGATTTTTCAAGTAATCCCTTGAATGAACCTCCATCTGCTTCTATCCCCACTTCACATATTTCCCCAGAGAAGTATATATTCCCAGCAAGGAGGAAATCAGTTCTAAACCCATTTGCCAATCCGTTTTGTCCCAGCCGCCCAGTTCGAAACAGAAGACAGCCAAGGTGGTTTTCTTCCCCTGAGTGGATGACATAACACTTTGTTCACGTTACCCATATTGTAGATTGTTTGCTGTAATTTTGATGGTTATGAGAAAATGTTTGAGTATGACATGTGATTTTTACTTTGATCATATTATTGATTATTATAGAATATGTTTAATTTTGAGATTGTAGAATTTTGTAAACTAGAGTACCTAAACATAGATTTGTTATTGATATATTTATATGAGTTTCGAGTTTGCAAGAAGAATATTGATATGCTGCTTAACTGTAATTGACAGATTTAAGATGTAGAGCGTCTTTGTTAAATACAGGTACTATTTGGAATTTAAGGTTCCTTTAGCTGTGCCTCATATTGTACTATTATTAGATAGTCTTATTTTTCACAGACTTGAGTGCCATCTGTTAATTAATATGATGTTTTTCTTAACAGTACATCATACACTTGTAAGTGATGTTTGAATTTTTTTCTATAAGATCAAACCTCTATCGAGATTTGATTTTCTCAAAATATTTTACTATATGAACATAAAAGGTCTGATGTTCAATGAAGTATTTTGATAGTTGTAACAGCTGATTTACAAGAAGATTGAGTAACTATATATTTTTACACTTATTGTGTATGTACACTTTTGAACTCTATCTGTAAGTGTCTATCTAACAGAAGCATTTACATTGTAAGATTTCTTGGAATTGGTTGTTGTTTGAAATGTCAGGACGACATTTTCCCTATGAGGGGGAGGATGTCGCAGGGTCATATTAATGTATTAATGTTAGATGTTATTTGTAAATGTATGTCCCGTATTGTACACCGTAGATTATGTGAAGTCCTATATTTGTGTCCTTTTCCTATATTCCATACATTCATCCTTTTATTCATTTACTCATTCATTCATTTCTTCATTCATTCATTTATTAACAAGTATGTACTAACCATTGGTACGGGCCTCAATCTTAAATATTCTATTTCAGCACTTAGTACGTTCACGCATGCGCACTCCTACTGAAGATTTTCATGGCGCGAGCCAGACTTCGTATTCATTCATAATAAATATTTTCTGAGAGCGTATTTCTGTATTTTTATAGGTAAATATGAATGTCTGTATTGATCCCATACTTGTTATTTTACATTTTGCCATTCATTATTTTCTGTAATTTGTAATTATTTTGTCTTTGCACTCCTACTGAAGATTTTCATGGCGCGAGCCAGACTTCGTATACATTCATAATAAATATTTTCTGAGAGCGTATTTCTGTATTTTTATAGCAACCCTCAAGCCCAGAACCTCTTAGCAGCACCTTTTCCATATCGTCAAGAGTAGACTGCGACACAAGATTAGATGAAATGGCTGTTTGAGCATATTGATCCGAGATGATCTACTTAAATCTCCCATAATGCAGTTGCATACAAACTCTTAACAACAAATGCCGTACAAAGAACAATTACCATTTATTTCTTTTATGATTAAAGTCTAGCCTAACAAACAAAGGCATACATTGGGAATAAAATAATTTCTTATTTCCTTGCAACAAATAAATTCCATTCTGACTTGTCCAATGTAACTGAACCAGTAAAGTATCATACTCAGAATTGTCTGAAGAACTAGAATAGTCAGACATTTATCAAGCTTTATTCCTACAGTAGTCTGAATCAGACTACGAAAAACTATCTAAGCCAATCGTAATAACTTTATTCCTAGCTTAGACGTCAATTCATTAAGCGTTAGAAATGAGTTACTTGCAGTTCCAACACATTTCAGGTTTAAGTTATAGTGATTATATGCCTAAAGCCGAGATGCGGCCCCGCGAGGGCTGCATAGCTCTTGTGTTAATAAGTTGAATTGAAATCAAATTAAAAACAATAACAAATATATGTCCAAGGCTCACACGTTTGAGAAAATTCATTACTTAGTTGGCGCCGACATTTTGTATATCTTGGAATAGTTTTATATTTGAGCCATCATTAGATTTCAGGAAGCTTGTGAAAAGCATTTAATAAAAGCGCCTCTAAACGATTTAGACTGTTGCTGGAAAACTCAACAGTTCTCACTGAGCAGTTAAGACTTTTGCTGGAAGACACAGCAGTTCAGACATGCTGCTGCAAGACTCGACAGTTCAGACCTGTTGTTATAAGACGGAACATTCTTCTGTCCTTATTACGCCTTCGGTAGAAGTTCGATGCAGAAAATCAATAAATGACATAATCTTTAATAAATATTATAATCTTTGAAAAGAACTGAAGTAACGATCATAATCAAAATACATTCTTTTCAATATTATGATTAATCAACGTAAAAGCAATAACTCTGATTAGAGATTTACAAAATTGGCAGAGGAGACATTCAGAAACACTCCGAATACTTTGAAAATATGTTAAACAACAGAAATTCATTCGTTTCTAATGAACGGTACAAAGTAACAACATTTACTTATTATTTACAAAGTCAAAAATGATCTTGTTAGTATGAAAGACTTAACGCTTATAAAGAAATGTTAAGGGCATTATGCATCATAAAAAGCATCTTTTATCATACAACAAATGTATACCTCTGATAAAATGACGTTTGTGAAAACCATTTTGGCAAATTGATGTGGTTTGAAGTTTACAATCCATTGTAGATCACTGTACACAATTGTCCTAAAGGGGTAACTTAAGGAAGTTATAATTGAGTCTGTATCTACGTACTGTATGCGGCCAAAGAATGATCCATCTTTGTGTTTAGCTCTAGGGAACGATACCATGTGTACTGTTTAAAATAAGAAAAAAAACATAACCTGAATAAATGCTTGAATGGAGGCTCAAAGGATTTCTCATGAATTGTCACGGCATAATAAAGAAAACTTTTTTAGACAAGTCTAGCAAAACAAGCAGGCCATTTATTTTATTGACGATATTACTTTTAGTACGTTTCTTTATAGCCTTTTCTGAAAAGAAGCCGAAATTAAGAATCTAAAGTAAAGTTGGCCGCGACATCACTACAATTCTTACATTGTCAACTAGATAATCTGGAATTTCTTTCAGTGCGTTCAAATCAATCCATAAATTGCATATTTTATGTAAAATGTAGATAACATTTATACTTAACTTACATCAATTAAGCAAAGACATTATTAGAAAATTTCAATTGTGTTAACAGCTTTTACCTTCATTAGGCTTATGTTCAAATAAACAACTAAGATCTATAATATACATAATTTTGTTAAAATACCACTGCAACTATAATATAGTTCTGAATATTATAACACTTATACTACATGCTGTTTAATTATTGTCACAGCTGCAGTTTACAAGAATCTATACTCCTAACAGCGTATGAAACAATGACCTCTATTGTTAAAAAAGAATTATAAAGAAATGTTAAAGTACCAATGTCTTGAAGTTTGGCAAAACAATGTCTATCATTGATTATCTTAATACTTTTCCATAATCCAATCGGACTATTCATGTAGTGATAACAAATTCCTTTGTCCTGTCTCACCCTGTCCTTAAAACTGGCAACTCTACAAGTGGTCTGAATACTGCAAAGTTCGATACATCTCGTAAGATTTGTTTTTAAGACAGTTGAATCTCCAGATAGCAATTCATGTTCAAGAAGAGGCATCATTTCAGATGATTTGTCGCTATGGATGTCAGTTATTCCTGTAAAATGAGGGATAAAATATTTCTAAACTGATAAATGATATATTGGTAATTTAACAGAATATCACACTTTATATATCGTAAAGATTTCACTTAAAATTTTCAAAGGTAAATAAACATGATTTAGATTGTTTACACGTGAAGCATTTCTTCCATCGAAATTTTGTTACAATCCATTGCCAACTTACGTGTCAGTTTACACCCGAACAATTTGAAATTAAGGCATCTAGATTTGCTTGTTGGCATATCAAGTGAATGTTTGAGTTTTAAGTATCTTCCTTGGATTGGTCTTTGAAGAATAAATACTTGATCTATGTTCCACATGTCTTCTGGTGGGAATATTCTAAATTCCTGAAATAAATGAATTAATGTTGTTTACTTGTGAAAATTACCTCCTTATGGCATGTGACAATATTTTTCTTATAAAAATATTTTTTCCATAAAAGTTAAATAAATCGGGAGACATATTGCTTAAAAATGGTTGTATATGATATTTTTATATGTTTACACAAACGAGTATACCATGTCCTTGTATAACTGTAGTTTATCCTTATTGTTGCTGAAATATAACCTGAAAGTAGCCCACATGTCACATTCTTTGGAAACGTAAGTACCAACTCCTTCTATTGTTGTTACAGCAATTAAATCCACCTAAATTGATTAAAATTATTTGTACTGATAGTGTTGACATAAGTCTGAATTGTTTTGAATTTACAAATAAGGTATCAGAACATTACCTAACTATATATTCTTACGAACCTTTTTTGGGTAAAACCGTTTAAATATTAAATGAATAACTATTAAATAGAGATTACAAGTTGCAAAGAAAATCTGGATTACTGTTGTTCATATACATATACTTTAAAATAAAAGTATATAGCATATCTGACATATAGATAAGATATTGACATTAATATAATAATAATTTATCATAAAATCAAATAAGTATTTCATCATACATGGCAGAAGATAAGACAATATTTTTTTCCTAGTCAGGTTAAGCAGCAGGAAGTATAATATATTAATGCTTCCACTTTGAAAATGTTAAAACTTGTTTAAAAATACATGCATAAAGATAATATCTCCCAATTTAAATTATTCCTCAATGCATTTTCGTTTTTGCTAATATGAGAGAATATTTCTTGACATGAATAATACAAACCAAAATCCACGGTGTCGGATCTGCAGCATCATGAATCCAACCAGTAAAAATAGTGTTTGTATTTGTAGGTATTCGTTTTGTGGTTCCAGAAGAAACAGTGAGCTGACTTTTTGGTACCTGTTTGTCGTCGTCTAATTCAATACTCTCAAAGCATGCCTCACCATTTTCTACAGCAAAAACATTAGAAAATGTCTTACAAGTCTTACACAAATAAAACATATTCAAATAAAACAAAATGTCGTTAAAAGGTTTGCAACCGGTAAAATTAATGATTTATACTGTGTAATTACCGAAAGATCATTGAAAATGGAGTATTGATTGACATTCACGTGACATATTCAGATTCCAGGATAACGCCAGTGTTCCATTTTATACCAGAATTAAACAATATGCTTTGAGTTTTCATGGTCTAAGAAAAAGTCTTTTCAGTAAGAAACTGAAACACGTGCACAAATAACTTACTGACGGCGTTGCCGAGTGGTTAACACACAAGACTGGCAATGTAAAAAATACTTTCCACATGGGTCAACATCGCAAGTGGCAAGCCGTTGTTAGTTAGCAAGAAACTTTAAACTCATTGTTTAGAACTGTTTGGTTCAAGAAACGGATTCCAAATTGTTTCAATACGGTTATAGCTTCGAAACAATCGAACTAAACAAGACTGATATTCGTAAAACTAAACTAATTTAAATCATTTATTCCCATCTTAGAATATTCAAATGTCAACTAATGAAATTATTAGAATATAGTTTCAATGATAATCTCATGAAGTCAGCAATCTTATGGATTTCCTTTGCTATCTTGAAGTTTAAATGTTAAGATGCTTATTTCTATCGAAAATGTAGAAGTAATAATTGGTAATACATAAGCAAATAAGCAAAACATATTCTTCTGAATTTATTTTCTTTAGCTTTATGAAGTTTACTTACGAGCTTCTATACTCGATATGAAAACCTGAAATGACATGTCGCCTGTTATGGTTTCATTCAATGCAAATGTAAAAAAACGACCTCGTGTTCTCCTGCAATTTAATAGGTCATTTCAAAATATATTTCGTTTGCAGTATTCTACGAAAATAAGTTTGAACAAAATAGTTTAGAAGCGTATTAAACAGAGAAGATATTTTAACAGATCTTACTATCTCTCATTCAAAGATCAGCGAATATTTCATCTGGTCAAGTTGGAACAAAATAGTTAAAAGGCATATTTCTAAAGATTTTTAAAGTTATCTTACGATCTCTTATTCATAGAGCAATGTCAAGGTAAAACAAAAAATGTTAAAAAGCGCATTTTAAAAAATTGTAAGAGACATAACGAAATCTTATTCAAATTTTTGCGAACATGACACATTTTGTTGACCCTGACATGCGGTCATATCTAGGATACAATTGCTTCATATACCTTTAGAGATTGTTCTGTGCTTTTGCTTAATGGTGCAGTGGTTTTAAAAGATGGTGATGCCGTTTCAGTTGATGGTGCGGTCGTTTTGATAAATGATATATATTTATTATCTCTGATAACACGACCACACGTAAGTATGGAAGATCTGTCATTTTCTTACACCAAGTATATGATCAGTCTGATTTATTACACAAGGAAAAGTATCACACAATGGTACTTTATTATAGCATCAATAAGGCTTGCGACAAATTTACCTTAGATATACTTTTCCAGGAAGAGTGGTAGTTTCTGTGTTACAAGCTGAGGAATCCTGTAAAGTCACAGGTACATCGCTGACAAAACACTTGAAATAGGTATTTTCCTGAAAGAAAACATTTCAGCACATTAGAAGTCAGGCAATCAACAGACTATAAATGTTTAAATTATTAAGGTACTATGAAATTTCAAAACGCTGATCTTTAATTCTTTTTACAAATTGTTTATTATTATTATTATATTATTATTATTATTATTATTATTATTATTATTATTATTATTATTATTAATTGTAGTATTATAATTAAAAACTAAGTTGTACGGTTCTATAGAACAAAACCACATAAATGGTCTTTATAAAAAGGAACAAATACACAGTTTGCACACAATATATATGAAGAAAAGTCGAGAGAACACCTATAATGCATTATCTCCACTTTGAAGAGGCTAAAATCACATTGAAACTAAGGGGCGTGGGTTTTAAGTCCCAGAAAGGGCAACTTTTTTCCCTTTTTTTTTCTTTTTAACAATCTTCATGTATCTCTCAGTGTTTGATTTAAATAAATATATAATTATTGTAGGTATTTATTTCCTGAAAATGCCAAATTTAATGGCAAACATGATACCAGATATTTTAAAAGTTTAATAAAATAAAAACTACACGGTAAAAGTATCTTATAGTTTGCAAGACACACCAATATACATTAAAAAAAACTAGGCAAACTTTGAAAATTGTTCCTCATTTTGGAAACTTTAAGGGATATTACTAATAAGGCTTTTTACATAGGCAAATTGTCAAACAAGTGTTTAAAGTGGGTGGGGTATGGTTACATTTTTATACATATTTAAAATATTGTGTTTAGAAACAATCATTTTGATCGTTTAATTTGTTACCTGAATGTCTTTAATTGTTTCTTAACAATGAGCAATAGGAAAACATGTTCCATAATGATGATATTAAAGATTTTTTTAGTTTTCTCATTTCTGAAAAAAAACCTTCAAATGGCGCAGTTTTACTTAAAAAAATGACCATAACTCATAAACCACACGGTAATTTTTTTTTTTAATATTGCGTACAGGTGACATTTAAGGCATATAACTGTCTTATGCTATCAATTTTTTAGCTCCTTATAGTGTCCAATATGGGTGTGCTACCCTAAATCTATTTAATTATTTTTACCATTCACTAACTTCAACATAGGATAAGATACATAATTGTAAAATTATCATATAAATATAAATGCGTAAATTCCCTGAGCCCGTGCAATATATACCCCGAACGGCGAAACCTTTTTGTATTTTCTGATCGCAAGATCAGTAAATACATAGCTTATATCCACGGTCTAACACAAAATTTCCTTACAGACCTAACAACGCAAAGTAGTTCTCACTCAGAACTGCTTAAAAACCAGCAATTTAAAAGAAAGAATAATTTTTAATGTAGGCATTTAACGAATTACAGTGCATTAAACGTTTAGAGTAGTCAATAGAAATATGAGGTTACAATCACAAATTTCGCGGATGAATATCTTTTTTATCCAATAAAAAATGTTCGGCTATTTCCGTAAAGCTTAATCAATGAAAATGCTATTTTTAGCTATGTCGATTACCGAATACTCCAGAGCGTAGTACACAAATAAATTAGTGGAATATATACATGTCGTACTGTTTCGTCGAGAAGATTTTCGCTAAATTATTTTCATCAGTGTTAAACGTGAACAAAATACCTCGAAATTAGTAAGCATTACAAACACGAAATGGAAATTCTCAAATTAGAATTACAATGTATTTGTTTTTATTCAAGCTACATATTATTACTTCACCGTGGTGCAGAGGTAGCGCCCTCGATTAGGGTGTGAGAGGCCAAAGGTTCAAATCCTAGTCTAGGCAACTATTTTTTAAGTGTCTTTGTTAAGGAAGTAGCCACGATATGCAAGGATAAAATGTGGCTGTCATTTTTTTATGCAACTCTAGTCATGCAAAATAACATATGTATCAATCTCAAACTGTTATAGACGCAGTCGCTGCGTAAGATTAATTATAGTATATAAAAATAAACTTATACAGGAAAATACATACAGATAGTCAGTATGATTTAGATTGCAAAGATCAGAAAATACCACAGAGGTTGCAGCCCTTTGATTATATCTGTTGTTGTGTTAGCTAAATATCTCGTGAACGTTGTCCGGTCTGCTGATGTCATTTAATTTGACCAAATTCAAACGTTAACAAACAAATTTGATTTGCGCAGCGAACAGTTACCAAGTTTTATGCAAATCTCTATTGACGAAATCGCCATACAGGTAGGTTTCCACCACATTTGAAAGACATCGACCAATTGATAAAGGCTATGAATTATAACCAAAAGTTTAGCAAGCATTATTAAGTATTATAAAGAGAATTAATAAAATATAATAGGGGGCAATAAAGATCTTGGACAACAGTCACCCTCTTAGTCCGATTAAAGTAAAATTTAACGTCAAACAAATTGCAACACAAGCTTTTTCTTACATTTTTAGTCTGTTATACACATCATATAAAACAGGTAAAAACCCTAAAAAAATCTAACCTTGGCAAACCAGTAAAAAAGCAATTCAAATTTTGCATTTGTTTTGAGTTTTTATATGGCTCTGCATGTACACCATACACAGAGTTTCATACTGTAACCGGTGTCGAGGTAAACAAAAGTTATGATGCCGCGCGATTTAAATAAACCAAAATAAACACATTTACTACCTGGAGTTGGATTTAGAAGCTGTTGTGCAAAGTATGTATACATTTCCATATTATATTTACTTGGTTTTACAACTTTTAGCCTGGTACATTCCCAAATATCTAATACAATGAATGAATTGTAATCGGTTTTCGCGTGTGTATAAATCAGCGTTTGTCGTTTAAAACAGTAAAGATTTTGCAATTTTCATGAGATATAAATAATCATTAGCCTATATATTAACATTCCTTTGGTAATAATATCTTTATGAAGTAGGAAAAATAAAAATAAACAATTTTATGTTTATTCTGGGTAGCTTCAAAATGTAACTACGGAAGCGTGTTTGGGTAAACAATGCACGAAATCTAGAATAAACTGTTAGTAAATTTAGCATCGTAAATGCATGATATTTATTAACAGATTATTAGTTTTTGGTATAAAAGTGTCATTGTGTATGATACATACTAAGTTTTCATTGTAATGACATTTGGAAGATACGAATTGAAAGGTAATACTGAGCGTGATATATTATCTTTTGTTTTACATACTATATATGATATATGAGATTTAGGGTAGTCAAAAACAGATACAGAATTATAATGATTATGGTAATTTCAAAATTGTGATTCCAAAAAAGGGAGAAAAATTATTTTACTGTCACAATACGCAGTTCAAATTGTTGTTGAGCTCCATGGTTTAACCAGAGACATAGATAACATGTTATCTATGTGACATGTCTCTGGTTAAACTAAATTGTGCTACAAATATTGATGAGGAGCTATATTCGAAGTTGACTGTTGCTTTGCCAATGGTAATAGATCCCCATTTTTGAGTGTTAAATTCGATGTACAATTTTACAAACACATGGCGATAAGATAGTTTCCATACAAACGTAATGAGTCAGAGATGTCTGTGCTAATATGGGTATATGTTGTCCATTTACACCGTCTGACTTTCTGTTTAAAAACATGTTTATCTGCCTTTCTGTCCGTCTGGCTCTCTGTTTTTTGTCTTTCAAAAACAATAAAATTTGATAGTTGTAAAACATGATTCTGAGATACTATTAACTTGTGTAGAACATCTGCCTATCTTTAATAGGGTATGTCTATCTGTTTGCTTGCCTTTCCTTATGCTGTCCCTTCTATATTTATGAAAACTACAACATATAGTCTGTGAATCATATTGAAAGTATTGGCCTAAACGAACAGATAACTCATTTTTATGGATATTAAGAGTGATTGATAAATAGTTCTGGGGCTTTGTTTGATAAGCCAAAAATGAAAGCCCTGCCATACCTACAACCATGTGGCCACAGGGAAAATGCCTCCTTTTATTTAATTCTGCTACTCTCGTCAATAACAGTTACATATATTATTTGAATATCTGGTAAAAAAAGTGATCCCTCAGATGCATTAAAAAGCAAATTTTAATGAAAATTGCAGAGCCGGTTTGATTGAGTCTGTGTATGAGGGATAATGAAAAAATGTAACATCCCTCATGCCCCTTAACACTGGACTTAAAAGTGCTGGATTCAATGATCCCGAAAGACCAGAAAAATATAACAACACTGAAGTGAAGTACGGGGCAACTTTTTACGGCTGTCACACAGTACATCACATCTGCTGTTGTGATAAATAAATATCTGGTAAAAAAAGTGATCCCTCGGAAGCATTAAAAACAGCAAATTTTCTGAAAATTGCAGACATGTTTTGATTGAGTCTGTGATTATAAAAGCTGTTTTTGAAGTTGAACATACGTTTCGCTCTATAGTGTACCCAAATTCATGCATTTCTCTGAAGAGGATTCCACTTTTTGGGTAAAAACTATTTCTTTATTTTCATATGATGCATAGCATTATTTTTTAAGACCAGACAATGTTTTTTGTATTCTCTTTTTAATTCCATTTTAGATGACTGGATGTAAAGACGTAATATTAGAAAAGAGTATTGTTATCATTACGTCAAGAAGAGAAAACTGCAAGAGACCTTAATATGATCAAGAAAAAATGTTGAACGTATATTTATTTAAGACAATAACTGTGTAAGTTGCAGAAAGAACATAAACTTCGTGGCAATGTTGTCAGTAAAGTTGAAACCTTCGACTTTCATGTTTAAATCAAGTCTTTGTGTAAAACAAGACACATTAAGCGTGAAGTAAGGTCCTAGGAAGAATCAAAAGCGTAGATGGCCTCCTGACAGCTCAAATATGTTACCACCATTGTTGTAATAGTAACAGGCGTTCTTTTCATGAAAAGTGCAAACACACGACTTGCAAATCTAGTGAAAAAGACCATCGAAAATAGCAGGAGAAGGCTTTTTAACCACAATGCAATGCTTTGAAAGTTATTGAAAGTAAAACATTTTTTTTGACAATTGTGACAAGGTGTAGTCGAA